AGATGTGTGTGAACATCTGTCAGCTCTGCAGTTGTGTGTTCAACATGGAGTGTTTCCTAATGGCCGGGCCGTGGGGAGAGCTGTGCACTAATTAAGCAGCCAAACGAATGTGAAGCTGCTTAATGAACTGACGGCCGTCTGATTGCTCAGTGGGCGGCTGTTAACGAGCGTCTCTTCATCAGCTAATTGGTTAATGAGGGAGCACCCCCTCCCCCCCCCACACACACATGTGTCAGTTTAGAGAAAAATGTTAATTAGCAACACTCAGACCAGGCAGAGGAACAAAATTTAAAAAAATGACCTGAGATACTAAAAACTGTGTGTGAACAAAAACCCTTGATTGGACTGATCTGCAGCTGTTTTAACAAGTTACTGATCGCTGTTAATGCTCAGGTAGGTCGAGCAGGCGGGGAGGAAACGTCAAACAGTTCACTGTTCACTAAACTGGAAAAAGACGGATAAGCTGCCATCAAACAATTTAAGGCAAACTATAATCCCAACGATACCAAAACCAAAGCCACACTCGTCTTTGAGGATTCTCTGAAATATGGCCGTTTCATTTATGGGCTGATATTGGGAGGAGGGGTCTCACAACAACGAATCATGCCAGCGTGAAAAGACACCAAATGTTTAAAAATTAAGAGAATTTTAAACTGTATCAGTAGCCTCTCGGAATATTTGTTGCAACATTTGTTTCAATTTCTTTATTTTACTTTATTTAAAATACCAAAGATAACAGAGTTTGATGTTAAATAGTATTTTAGCACCAACGAGGTGACTTCCAATGAAAACACTGCACATCTCAGCGTGGTGTCCTTAAAAAGATCTGAGAGCACTGGACAGACGAAGCTCTACGGCACATGAAGAGTATCGAAGCCCAGAGTTCAAACTCACCAATCGTAAACTCGATGTGGAAGTCGTCCTCCGGAGCCAGCGGGCGGTTGAAGGTCACCTGCATGACGAACTCCTGACCACGGCGCACCACCAGGTTCTGCATGTAGTAGTCGGTGGTGTAGTGCTTCGGCTTGTTGGCGTCCTGACACATGTTGATTTTCAGCGCCTCCAGCAACACTGAGAGGGCGGGGACAAAGCAGAGGACGCTGGTCATTGACTGGCAGCCATGACAGAGTGGTCAACAACAAGACAACGCAAGGAGGTGCTAACGTAAAACAACAGGGCTGGAAATGAGCAGGTGCGCTGTAAACGGTCCCCAGAGACAGGTGACGCAAGCTGGCCTCACCTCCACCAGGTGCAAACGCTCTGGGCGTGACCTCAGATTCAGCAACGCCTTCAAAAGGTTCAAATTCTGGAACGCCATCTGAATATGACAGGTTGGAGGTCGGCAGCTGGAGGAGAAAGTTGTCAAAAGTCAGGCCATAACTCGTTTTTGGTTAAATTCAAAATGAACTGTTAATTTTGTTGTGAGGCTACCGGCTTGGCGTAGCGCCCCTTCTGGGATTCAGCGGTTGGACCAGTCATGGTTGTCAAAGGTCAAAGGTTACACTGGGATGATTGGTCAAAGAAAAAGAAAAAGTCTTAAGAAAAAGTTTAAAGCATCGTATTGTTTAATATATTCTTATGTAGCTTTCTGTTATTTAAAAAGAAAGATGACAATTATTTACAATGTAAATAGAAAAACTAATAATAACAATATAAGAATGATTTCTAATGTAAAATATGAATAATTATTATTTACACTGTAAATAAATAAAGAGCAGCAGGAGCAGGTACAAGCTCTGCTCGAGCTTCAGACACTCACCGCTCTGATGAAGAGGAGGTCTGATAAAGAGGAGGTCTGATGAAGAGGAGGTCTGATGAAGAGGAGCTCGTCCTGCTGCGTCTCTGATCAGATGGCGATCGAGTCGACTTCAGCATCACTTTATATCCACACACACTTCCTCTTTTCACTCACACTGTGTTTCCCGTCACTTCTGAGGACTCGCACTGAACAGCTCATGACCCAGCAGGTGACCTTGACCCACCCGATCATGTGGTAGCACCCACAGTGGGCGGAGGTCACGCTGACCTCTGGCTCCATTCAAAACTTCCATTAGAAATTCTCAGATTTTAGTTGCAGCACAAACTGAATTAACCATCTTAACCCAACAGAAACAAAACTAACGTGATTGAATCCTGTGGTTAAATATGAAATCGATAAAGTCGATTCTAGTTCAATTTTTTCTTTGTTTTCTGGTCGACTCTTCGCGGCGTTGCTTCACCTCGTGGAGGTTTGCAGCGTTCGTGCTGCTGCGCTCGGACCTTCGTCCTGCTGACTGCTCCGAGCTTCAGCTGTGGGACACACGGCAGGTCCACAGACGAGCTGGTGTCCGCTCAGATCATCCTCTCTCCAGCGTGCTGAAGCTGTGTGAGGTGTTCGTGCCGAGTTTGGTCTCATTTGAAGGACGTTGTTCTTATTTCGTTCAGATGCAGCTTTGCAAACCTAAGCCATGCTGCCATGTTCTTGCTAGAGAGAAGAAGCTTCTAATTGTGCTGTCATGAACTTTAACCTTTAACATGCTGACTGGGACCAGTCAGGGCTTCTCTGATCATTCCACAGTCGGACGTTCACTCCTGGGAAGACTGACGACGTCTTTAATGTTTTCCAATTAAAAAATCTTTCTCAGATTAGGACGACAGACCTGAAAGCTCCACACATGCACACTGTGAAAACATCTGCTTCCACTGAGATGCTCACACTGATGAACATTCGAACACCAGCACTCGGGTGATCCTTCATTCCTGTTGAAGCAGTGAGGATGGTTTTAACCGTGTGTTTAAATAATAAACACGGTGCAATAATCTGAGGCTGTATTTATGTGAAAGTAAGACCTGCTGCAGTGACCAGAGTACAGGTACAGTAATGTCAGGACTTGGGTTCTAGAGGTTCTTCAGTCATCTGCACTTTCACGTCGGGCCCCAGGCTACAGTCTGGGCTAGCATGCTAAGGCAAAGCTAGCCTGAACCTCAAACGCAGTGACGAGCAGTGTTGGTCAAGTTACTTGAAAAAAGTAATCAGTAACTAATTACTGATTACTTCCCCCAAAAAGTAATCCCGTTACTTTACTGATTACTTATTTTCAAAAGTAATTAGTTACTTAGTTACTTTTTAAAAACACGATTTACAACCTGAATAGGTGATAAAGTGATAGATCTTTCAGCCCAATTCTACTTTTTCTACATAATCATCATACAAAATGTAATCAAATGGAAAAGTCTCTTTTTAAAACTTGTTTTATTAGTTTTAATCTTTTAACTTTATGCATCAAGCAAAAATTAAATTATCTGCAACATTCTCTGACTGGAAGAAATTAGTTTAACATTTAAACCTATTTTCTGCACATTCCAGCACATAAAATAAAATATTTTGTGTGTTTACACTCAGTCTTTCAAATAGATGCAAGTAAAACACAGCAGAAAATAAATAAAGTCAAAGACTAGCGGTCCTGTTGCTCTATTTTCACCTGTAAAGCAGGAGTGGGGTAGGCGGAGGGTTACCCTGGTGCAGGTGTGCAGCGGTCAGTGGAAGAATCTGCGAGTTTCTCTGTGAGTAACGCGTTGACCACCTGATCACCAGAGATGGGCAGTAACGCATTACTGCTCATCTCTGGTGACGAGCAGCCTTCATGTCTGAAGTAGACTCGCTTTAAAGTCTCTTTGTGCAGGTTTTCATCTTTTCTCTGTGTTGTTGTACAAACACTAACACAAAGATCATGTGTGTCCTGTGTGACTGCGGCCTCAGGTTTATACTGTTAACTGTTAATTATGTGACAAAAGTAACAAGTTACTGTCTGCAGGGAGTGACCCTCAACAAAATGTAACACACTGCACCACGAGGACAGAGGTTGGTGACTTTTGTTGGTCACTGTGTGGCTCAGACGTGAACTGTGCTTTGAGTTTGTGTCTTTATTTCTTGCTGTTTTAAATGTTTGTTTTAAAAAATCCGCCTGCTGTAAAATGCAGTTTGTTGTGCCACAGTCAGTGTGCTGACCAGCCCATCAGCTGGTTTCAGCACCTTAACCAACAAACCTTGCTCTGCACTCACGTTGCAGACATTTATGCTCTAATGTTAAAAACAACAGAAAGTCATGCAGCTTCCATAAATCTGTTTCCTCTGCACAAACTTCCTCTGACTCTGATCAGGTCGCCCTGACATGACACGCTGCTCCTGATTGGTCTAATCAGCCACTTCCTGCTTGGTGCCTGACACTAGAATAAGCAGAAAATGACCCAAAACAGATTCAGATAAGAACAAAGGCATGAGAGAGCTCAGATATGATTAACTCTGAGTTTAAACCTTCAGACTGTTGAAAATTATCTACCAAGAACATCGTTTTTAAACCTGTCAGATTCAGTTCGATGTCTGCAGATGTTCATGAACACAGAAGCTCAGATTTTGTGGAGGCCGATGAAACATCATCAGGAGAATCTTTATGTTATCATCAAATGCAAACAAAAGTGCATTTGATTGTTGTCATGTAGCTTGTAGCTCACAGACTATGGTTCACTTTAAATGGCCACCAGATAAACCTGAAGGATTTTATTTATTACTGTACAGATATAATCGTTTTATGTGATGTGTAATCAGTCACCAGATGAAATGATGACACATGGTTTTCGACTGGAGGCCCGTTCGTCTCCCAGAGGACAGTCACCGTCTCTCACCTCCGTCTGAGTCATCACGACGAGCTCAGGGTTTTATTGTCTGTCAGCAGATCTGAAATCTGAGGGAAAAAGAGACAAACAGAAGGACAAACAGGGAGAAAGCAGAACAAAGGCAGATAACAACAAGGACACAAGACGACAACGAACTGTCAAGAAGATAAATGCTGTTCAGAGGAGCTGTTGGAGGTCAACTGGTGTCTGAAAGAGAGGAAGGAGGAGGGAAAGAGGAAGTGAGAGCAGGAGGTCACTCAGCTGCTCTGACATGTCGACGACATTATCAATAAAGTCAACAGATACAAGCTGAAAGTCACCAGTCAGCAGA